GTTTCTTTGGAATTAGGTGGAAAATCACCAAATATTATATTTGCTGATTCTGACCTTGAAGAGGCTGTTAAATGGGCTTATCAAGGAATCTATTTCAATCATGGTCAATGCTGTACTGCTGGCTCTCGTATTTATGTTGAAGAGTCTATTTATGATGAATTCCTTGAGAAATTCAAAACTCATACACAAACCATTAAAATTGGTGATCCTTTTCATCAAGATACTTTTCAAGGTCCTCAAGTTTCTCAACGGCAATTCGATAGGTAATATTATATCATATATATATATATATATTGTAAAAAAATAATGACTAAATAATTTATGGCATATATATATTTAGAATCATGTCTTACATTGAGTCTGGTAAGAATGAAGGTGCAACTTTATTAATGGGTGGTAAACGACACGGTGATAAAGGATATTTCGTTGAACCAACTATTTTCGTTGACGTGGTAAAGTTTTATTTTAATTTTTATATATTCTTATTATTAAGAATAAGTATTAATCTTTTTTTTAAAATATTTTTAAGAATGAAAAAATGAAGATCATGCAAGAAGAAATATTTGGTCCCGTTGTAGCCATTGCAAAATTCAAAACTGTTGATGAAGTAATCGAAAAGGCACATTTAACAAAATATGGCTTGGCCGCAGCTGTGTTCACTAAGGATTTATCGCGTGCAATAAAAATCTCAAACACATTAAAAGCTGGTACAGTATGGGGTAAGTTTTTTAGTTCCTTTCTCTCAATACAATTAGAAACCTTTTAACTTGAGTATTTCTAATAATTTTAACCTCTACTTTACACAGTTAACTGCTATAATGTAATGAATGTCAATACGTAAGAAATTAAACTTTACAAATTCGCTTATTTGTTTCCATCGTTTCCATTTGATTTATTTTTTATTTTATTTTTAAAAAATCAGTCCATTTGGAGGTTACAAAGAATCTGGAATTGGTCGTGAACTCGGAAAATACGCTTTAGACATATATACTCAAGTGAAGACAGTTCAAATTAATCTTGAACTCTAAATGATTGATTTTTCGAGCTAGAACTAATGGATTTCAATTAAGTTTATGATTACTCCATCTAGATCAAATAAATAAGAATTTGTTTGAAAAAGTTATATAAGACCATACAAGGTTCTTTCTCTAGATTTCATAATAAAATAATTCCAGTCATCTGGTTTTTAAAAAAAGTTTACATATATATATTAAATTTTCAAGATTTACGCGTTATTAAAATACGCGGTCGGTTATGAAAAACCAAATAAATTAATTTTGTGTGGCCTAATTCCTGTGCTCTAATAAGAAAATTCCTTGTAAAAGACTATTTCTTTATGACCTCAACTGTGGCTACAAGATAAAGTTCTATTTGAATACTGTATTTATACTTAATCGTTTGCAATGGTGAAGGTGTTAATTTTTACGCCATTGCTATTAAGAAATTTATGCCTTGTAATGAAATGAACTATAAAAGCTATTATTTCGTTTGGACTAATTCTTTAACGTAGAATAACCGGATACGTATCACTTCGCCGACACTCATTTCGTAGACATAACATTTCACCGAAGCTCATTTCTTTTTTTTTATAAATTCCCAGAATTATTTTGTCGGTAAAATGAGTTTCGGTGAAATAAACTTGTTGGTGAAATAATTGTCGATGAGATAAACATGTGGGTGGAGTAACATGCAAGAGCTGTAAATACCGTATTTGCGCGTGGGTGTAATTTCAAAATTTGGCCTAAATTAAGCTTAATTCGGGCCATAACTCGTAAAACAACACCCAATGTAGTCAACAAGATATAAGTTGGCCGATAGGAAATTTTGACCAATATTAAAATTGTGCTAACCCAATCTTTAAAGTATTTTTGTATTGGTTATATAAATTTTAAAAAATTATATTTTAAATATATTTTTTTTTATGTTAAGGTGAGGTTGTCGTACATCTTTATTAACATAATTTGTCAGAATTTTTAATATGAAATCTGAGTGATCGACACTCATGAAACGATAGGCTGCCATTTTCAGGGTTTTTAAAAGGAAATCACACTTAACAACTAGATACAACTGCTTAGATATATAATACTTCATTGATTTGTAGCTTTAACTGAAAAAAAAATAAAGCTAAAAAAGATCATGCCTTTAATAATAGCCTTTCATTCTATTTTATATAGTACTTGCAAGGCAGCAAAGCCTTCTTGCTTTGGGACTTTTTAAGCAAAAATCCACATATTCATTTGAGATTATGAACTTTAAAGAACGTTAAAAGAATTTAAAATTATTATAGTTTAGGTTTGTTTATATTCAAATTTCAATCTAATATCTTAATATAGTCGGATCTTTTTAAATGCATACTCTCAGAACCATAGTAAAAAATTTCAAAAATATACATTTACAGAAATCAAAATCTATAATTGTTATATTACTTAGGATTATGCAGAGCATGCATTTAGAGAGGTTTTTCATATAATGTGCATTTAGCAAAATGCATTTAGAGAATTTTCTTATATAACATGCATTTAGAAAAGATGCATTTAAAGAGGTCAAACTATAATCTTTATTTAAACAAACAGTATATATAGTTTGATCTTTTTAAGTAAATGCTCTTGAAATTATACTTTAATAATTTGTAGTTAAAAAATATATAATTTATTTACAAAGTATTAAGTTATTTCAATTTTTTATAAATAGCAATTTGTTTTTTTTGAGCTTGTTCAGCTAGTAGTAATTTTTTTTTTTTGATATTAAGGTGACCTTTTTGGTCTTTTGACTTTTATTAATGATTTTTTTGGTAATGTGATTTTATAAACCATTACAAGAGAGCATACAATTGGTTATATATATAATTTTTTTATATTATCTATTTAAAAAGTCTGCCTGAAGATTCTTCACTAATTGCTGTACCTAGCATTCTTACTTGAATGTTTTACTTTAAACTTTCTAAACCTGCAATCTGTGTTAACTTCACTAAGTTATATCCAGATATTCAGATCATTGTCTCAATTTTAGGACTATTTTATTCTTGAGATAAACCTCCTAGAACCTTCTGTATTCATTTTTATAGTTGATTTGATATTGCTATAGCAGAATCAACACTTGTAGTTAAAACTTAATCATTAAACTGCTGTGCTCTTGTAAAGTTCAAACAGATCTTAGTATCTATTTCACAACATATTTGAAATAATTTAGTATATCTCTGTTATTTTATCACATTCTTTTTTTATTTTTTTTTTTATTTATTTTATTAAAGCTGATGTTATCGGTAGCTACCGCCTTTATTTGTGTTTTTGGACAATGTATTACATATGACTTGTACAAGATAAGTGTGCAACTAGTTACACATGTAACTTTTGGTTACCTGTTTAAGTAGTCCATCCAAGGGTTCTATACTAGCTGCCATGTCTGTAACCTACTAGGAGGGTACCTATTTAAACACTCTGATCCTTATACTACACTCAGGCAAGTAACATCTGGTTTTTGTATAACTAAGTACTATCTAACCCAACATTTAGCTTCCTTTTTTGTATATTTGTCAAGCTGTTAAACATTTCAGAATATGTCACCTGACTGTAAGGTTCTGGGATACCTCCTTGTTAACTACCTACCCACTCTACAGAACATTAACAAAGCTAGCCCTTGTAGAGTTTACCCAAACCTCAGTATCTACTTCACAGCATATCTCTAGTACTTATAGTATACCTTTGCTTTGATCTCAGACTCCCAATTCAGATAGCCCAGAAGAACTATGACCTATCTTTGGTATATTGAGCTAGCCTGATATCCTTTTCCTTCAGTTTAGTTTCGGTGACCTAGTTGGTGGTACCCTTCACCTGTGGTTCTTGCCTATCTGGCTTCTCCACATTGGTATCTGTTTCCTAGACCTAGCCTTTACAGTAGTACCATTGAAGATCTGTGTTACCTCTTTACTTGTATCTTTCCAAGTGGGCTCCGGTTTCCCAGTTCTACAGATTTATATGACCACAGTGACTTATTTTAGGTTTGCATCACCCTGTACTGGTTTGCATTTTTCTGTGTAACCAAGGTTATACAGATGCCCCATGACTTGCCAGTTATGCTGGTGCAACTATAGTTACAGGTATCCTATCCCAACTGATCGACAGAATGCTGTCACCATAATACCATCTATGTATTACATAGGTGATTATTTAAATTTTCACCATTAGTGGGTTTTGAACTTACAACCTACTACTTGGAAGTTGACAACTTATCTACTTTACTAAGTTACCACACCCCTTTTATCAGATTCTTAATTCAGATAGTTTATATAGAACTACAACTAGTTTATTAATATATTAGATTGACTCAATATTCTTTTTTTTGGTTCATTTTAATAACTTAATTGATAATATCTCTAAGACTTTCAATTCATAGATTCTTGCCTGTTCAGGTATTATGACTTTGATATCTGTTTTATAAAGTTAGGTTTTACAATAGAGTTATCAAAAATCTGGCTATTTCTTTATTTAAGTCTTGTTAAATAGACTTCTTGTTATCTAATTTTAATAGATTTATACAGTTACAAGAACTTATTTAGTATTTATATTATCTGATTGTTAGCTTGCATTCTTTTGTGCAATGTTATATTTATACAGATGTCTTATAACTTGCCAGTTATGCTGATACAACTATTATTACAGGTATTTTATCTTAATCTTTAGTAACAGTTGCTATAATATAAATATTATATAGATAATTATTCAAATTTTTTATTGTTAATAGGATTTGAATACCCAACCTACTACTTGAAGGCTTGATAACTAATCACTTTACTAAGTCATCATATTTTACTTTTTTTTTTAAAAAATATTAACAGTGAGGCTATGCCTTTAACTTTATTGAAATTCAATTGAAGTTTTTACAAAGAAAAGCTTGTTTTTAAATTACATATGAAGAATAA